GACTTGGACTTTTTACTAAACGAACCTGTTAGTTGTATTGTGTTGGTACAGTTACGGTAAGTTAGAATTAATAATTATAAACTTTCTTTGTCGTATCAAGAACGTTTTCTATTGTATTGAGATGTTTAATTTTTTAATTTTGTCGTTTTTTTTTTTAGTATGCTTCTCCTGAGCAGCTTGCAAAACCTCCCATACCTTATAATGAAAAAGTTGACATATATTCGTTAGGAATAATTTTCTTTGAGCTTCATTTCCCATTTTCAACTGGGCATGAACGTTATCAAGTTCTAAAAGATTTAAGACATGGCATATTACCAAATGGATTTGTTCAACGATTCCCAAAAGAGGTTTGCAAATTTACTTTGAAAACTTTAAACTCTATAGAATTAAATTATTTATTTATTTATTAAATTTTTTTAATAATTACAGTCGGCGTTTATTTTGTGGATGATGGCAGAAGATCCAGATAAAAGACCAAATGCTAAACAAATATTAGATTTTGAATTATTATCTGGACCAATTCATGTAAATATTATTTATTATTTTAATAGGTATGTGATGGAGAATTAACATTATGTACTGATGTATGTATACATATATCTATAGGGCGAACATGCAGAGCTACAACATAGACTGGTTGAAAATACACAAAGAATCGATGTTATTACTAAAGAAAATGAAATGTTAAAGAAAAAGGTTGAGGAATTGGAAAAAATGTTAAAGGATTGTGAATGTAAAAACAAAAAATAGTAGCCCATTCTTATTAAATTTTGTTGTCGTCTTGGCGTGTTGAAAAGCCATTTATTAATATAGTGATTGCTGCAATAATTACTTTCTATGATACTTTTTTTTTTTTCAATTATTGAAAGTTAAAATTTAGATATAAAATTAAATTATTTAGATTAGTAAAATAGATGTATTATGATACAACCTTACGAAATTTTATGCTCGTTGTCACATTAACCATAACACTATACATCATCAAATGACATTACTCTATGAATGCGCACCTGTATGATCTAAAAAAATGCTTATATAGGATTTCCCATATAAATATATGCGTTATAAGATCTCTGACAAATTTCTATCCGTTCCTTTCGCCGTAATACATATCACGTATATATCTATTTTTATTTGTATATAATAAAATTAGGGGTCTGCAAATGCCCATGCGTGCCTGTGCCTATGGGCACAAAAGTGCCGGCATTATTAAAAGCATAAGCACAAAATGTTAGGCACAAAGCGCCGGGCACAAGTGCCAGGCAAAGTGCCAGACATAATTAAATAGTAAATATCCAATTTCTGTGCCTGTGCCCATGCCCATGTCCTTGCCTAGATTTTTTGTTGGGCACAAGCACGAGCCCGGGTTACAGACCCCTAAATAAAATATATATACCGATAATTATATAATTTGTTTAAACTTTATATACTCTAGCTGTTAGGTATTGAAATCGATTTGCTATTTAAGATTTCAAGAACTAGCATATACTGTATTATAGCGCTTTGCAAAAAGAAGTGACTCCACGATTTTTGTGGTGATGATCAAAGAAAATTTCCGGGAGTCTAAATTGTCTATTGATTCATATTTCGATCAGTTATATTTATATTTATTTGAAATCGGTAATATTCTTAAAATCTACAGAATCTCCCATTCTCATAATCTGCAGATGTCACATCTTTTTGCAAAGCGCAATAAATTCTCTCTACTATAACAATAATACGTGTTTTTTTATTGCAATTTTAATTTTTAATTCTAATACGAAATTTTAAAAAGTATAATTTTTTGGAATATATATACGTATTAATAACTTCTACTAGTATTAAATTATCGATCGCTAAAGTCAATGTTACGTACAAAATCAGCTTAACCGGTTAGTCAACTAAATAATAATAAAAACATCGATCTGGTCATATCGATATAGATTCAATATAAGTTATGCAGAATTCTATAACGCGTAACGGTAACGGTTATGATCCCTGATTCTATTTAAAAAATCTGCTAAGCCGATTTTTCAAAGGATCGACTACTTCAGTACTTAACAGGCTAAGTCTACTAAGCCAACTAATCATAGTGATAGGCTTGAAAAGCTTACTTTCTACAAGAAATATATATATATATTAGTTTTATCAAGAAAGTTTAAAAAAAAAAGATATAATCAATAAACTTTAAAGCGAAAAAAAGAATATATACTATTGCAAATTATATATTTAGTATATATATAAGTTATATAATCATCATTATAACGTTAACACTTAGCTCTCATAACGTAAGTTGGCCGCAGTAATTTCCGGTGACGTAATGCTATAAATAGATCAGGAAAGAACTCTTTTATTGTTACATATTTAATCTCCCTTCCTATAATAACTGTATAATGAGACGGGTGCCAATAGGGTTAAGACGATTGAGGCAACAACAGCAACACAATACAACTAACAGGTTCGTTTAGTAAAAAGTCCAAGTCCCATTTGAAGGATATTACTTTAAAATTTAATTAAACGAGGATGAGGATAATTACGTATGGTCTACCTAATGTTAAACGGCACAGATAGGACACTAAGGTTAGCTAGAAAGAAAGGCGAGAAAGAGAAAAAAAATAAAAAGAAAAACCAAAAATACTAAATAAAGCGGAACTATTCGCCGCTCGCCTCGAGAAAAAAAAAACCCCACCATATTTGTACGAACTGAAAGCAATATTCATTAATAGAAAATAACAAAGCAATAAACTTATTTTTATTTATATTTTTTTTTTTCAGCAATTCGGCTGTAACAATGGACCCAGTGGATGGATTTGGAAATCGTAGTTCTTTTGAGTTTGAGTTGACAAATGTTCACCAACTTCAAGGCAAAGTATGCAGTCCACGATTTGAAACCATGCCAAATATTTTTTGGCAATTAGGATTTGTACTTGTAAGCATCTTTATAATCTATATTTACATATATATCATTTATATAGTTTATATGTTTCGGTAGGACTTTGAAAATATCAATTAAAATTATTTATTATATATATACACCATTTATTATTATTATTTATTAGGAATCACCAAATGATCCCGAATATTGTGCGGTCTATCTCCATGCTATTTGTAACATGGATGAAGTAGATGAGTATGATCCGTCTAGAAATAATTGCTTACCTGCTAGAATGTATTTGAAACGACCTGATGGATCGATTATCAAAGAAATGACCACATCTTCAAGATTTAAATTTAAAGCTGTCAAGATTCGGAGATTGCGTAAGTAGAATAAAATTTTTTAAAATTTAAAGAATAATTATCGTCATCTTTGAAGAAAAAAGCTTGTATGAAAAAATATTAATCATTAGAGCATTTAAATAGGTATGGCACAATTTTGCAGACGTTCTAGACTTACCGATAACCTTATCATTGGAGTTAGATTGAAAAGTACACAACTAGGAAATCATTTTTTTAGAACATTATCATTCCATGAACCTGCTCCAATTAAACCAATTCCTGTAACTTTGATATCTGCTTGGAAGAATGAATTTCAAAAACCAGGATCAGGTGATGTTAAAATTACGGTTCAGGGACAAACAATTTTTGCAAGTAGTTCAATTCTTGCAAAACGTTCGGAATATTTCCAAAGAATGTTTAATGGATCATGGTTAGAATGTAACCAATCTATCGCTAATGAACAGCACATGATTGAAGATGATACTATATCAAGTGATCGTAGAGGTTCTGAAGCTGATGCATCATCAAAAATGACAATTAATCGGCAATATCAATATTCAATTGATATTCCAGATTTCGATTATCAAACTGCTGTTCAAATGCTTTTGTTTCTTTATACGGATCAAGTGGACATTAATAATTGCCCAAATATTTGGAATCTTTATACAATCGCCAATAAATATCTAATAACAGATTTAGAGATGGAAGCAAAATTAAAGATTCTCGAAGGAATGAGTATAAATACTGCAGCAGAAAGTTTATTTAGAAATGCATGGAAATGGCCAGATTTAAAGAAAAGATTTTTGAGATATGTTGTTGATAATTTTTCACAAATTAGAAATAGTCATGGTTACAAAAATATAGTAGCAAATCGTTCGAAATATCCAATGTTTCTTGAGTTGAATAGCGAAATCTTATTGGCATTTGTTCCCGAAACTGTCGAATCTTGAACAATTTGGACAATTTGGGATGTTATTGATTTTTTAATAATTTGAAATTTGAATGTTGTTGAACTTTTCTACGTTGCTTTATAGTACAATATTAGGTGATAGATGTCATTTAAATGATGATACTTTTATTTTTCCGGTAACCATCAGAAATGTTTGAAGTGATTGGTTGTTATCATCTGTATGCGCATTAACAACATATACTTGGTATGTCAAGTTAGAATATGAGATAATGTGCTTATAGGAGAATATAAAAATTTTTTTACTTTTGTTACTTGTGTAAATGTTTACGTTTCCTGATATTAAGCAAATTAGGATTTAAATTGTTTTTTGCGCGTGTAACCAAATATGCAATGACAGTTTTTACGATAAGTAGGATTAATGCGGTTCGAGTGTTAAATTCCTTTAACATGTTCAAGTAATAATGGGATCATCATTTAAGCTTGAGGCTAAAAAGATTGGTAGATGTTGTTGTAAGTATGATTCAAATTTATTAATTCGTCTTTCTACCTATCTGTAATATCTTTTCATCATTTTATTGCTTGTTTTCATCATTACTACAGTGACTATTTTTTTTGTATCGGTTATTTGCACGGATCTGTAATTTTTATGTAAAGTTTTGAGTTAATTCTCTCAACGCATAGGATATATCAAATTTCAACTTCAATAATTAATCATTTGGTTTTTGTAAAGAATTACATTCTGGATCTTTATTGTCATTTCGTTTAAAGTTATAAAAAATTTTTTTTTAAAAAAAACCAAACCATTCAATTTATTACTGTATAAAGTAGTCTGATTTGTAAAATTTTAATAAAATTAATTTGCATTTTTTGATAAAAGAGGCATAACTTTAAATAGGACTAAATATGTATTTGTCGGTTATATTCTAGATCGATGTTGTTAAACGGGTTGTCCATTGGTAATTGTCGTATTTCTTTATTATCTTATTTATTATCTGGCGTGATAAATAATATATAAAAAAAAATAACAATCACCAAAGAAAAAACCATTGACATTGTCGTAGACTCGGAATTAAGGTGGTGCGATCCAGTGTTATAATTCAAAAAACTTTTATTAGCGCAAATGCAAAAAAAAAAAAATGCATAAAGAAAAATTTATACGCGTGTTATATATACGGGGCACACTGATATATGCGCAAATTTAAATCTATGTATGCTGTGCCTACTGCGCTGATCCAATTTACATTACTGGTGTTTATTACAAATCTCAAATTTTATCGAACTAGCCAAGAAATCATTCAGCAAATTTTTATCAGGTGTTCCAGAATTTATGATGACAGCTATAATATGAAACAAAATCAAGATTTTTTTAAAGAATCTGGTATCAGTCATTATTTGACTAGTCAGTTAAACCGCTCTGACTGGTTAGTAACGGTTACGGTCAATGATCAGTTACAACGGTTATGACCATGACCATACCTATCTCTAGTTGTGGGAGATATGATGCACTTAAATATCCTTATAAAAGATGATGATAAAATTCATTGCCTTTTTCATCTTCGCTCAGTAAAAATTTCTGTATAACCACGCAATGAAGAAGATGTGTTGCAATTTGTAGAAGCATTGTTGCTTTTACAATTGTCAACATATTTTTATTATTTCATTTATCAGGAATTAGATCAGAACATCTCAAGAAACGAAGTTCAAGTTCAAATATTACTGTAACTACTCCAGAACATCCTTCTATAGATAGGAATAGTTAAGAAATACAAGTTTTATATGTATAGTTTTTATCTTCATTTTATTTTTATATTCTTTATATCAATAAAGCTAGCTCTGATGGCTGATTTCGTATATATAATCATGTTTACTTTTATATGTATTTATTTTATATTGATATATTAATCTGTATATGTGTATTTTTTTGGTGTTTTACACTTGTTGGATTAAGTCCAATGAAAATGACTAGTTGTCCACTGTTTTCCTAATACTATTCTTGAGATCACAATTGAGCGATATTAATATTTATTCATCTCCATATTAATAAAAAATTTTTTTCTTGGCAAAAATGATCTGTGTTATGAAAAGTAATGTGCATGTTATTTTTATTAATTTGAAATTTAAATATACTCACGCTCTATAAAAGCAATGGAAAATATTCACACCATTGATTCATTAAAAGAATTAAATGCTAAACTCTTAACTGAGATTGCCAAGCTTAGAAAGGAAAATGATAAGATTCCTGAACTTAAAAAGAAATTTGCTGAGGTTGAGGTTGAGAATGCGAAGTTGAAGCAAATTATTGAGGAGAATGCGATATGTGATGCTAAGAATGCCAAACTCAAGGCAAGAATTAAGGAGTTGAAATCTGAGAATATTGAGTTTAGAGATAGAATCATGAAAGTGGAACAGAAGCAGATGCAAAATGACCCAAAGGGAAATAATTCTAACAACAGTTTATCTAATTTCAATTCAGTTGCAGATCAAGCTAACTCGCATTATAAGAAACCATTAGTGAATAAGGAAATAGATACTTCATTACCCAAAGAATCGATTCCAGAGGTGATTGCAAAGCAATCAGTATTAGCTGTTAATATATCTGTTATGGACTAATGTAATTAGACATTCTCAGAAGATAAGGAGGCAAATGTTTTCTTGAATGAAATGCATAAGAAAAATATTAGTAATGAGATTAGACAACACAATAGAGAGAGGAAATTTCAAGCCCAAGAGTCTCTTCCAATATCTTTTGAAGAGAAAAGGTCTCAAGTTCTCGACTCGATTATTCAACCATGCAATAGCATATCATCAGAAGTATCAGCTAATTCAGATAGCGAAGAAGTACCTCCAGAAGAAAAAATATGTAGTGAACAGGATTCAAAGTGCAAGAAGGGAAAGAGTGTGAATAAGCTTAAGCAAGAATTATTTGCTTCAGAGTTGTCTACACAAGATTCATCAATAGAACAAAATCAGCTAAAAGGCATGGTGCATGTGACCAAAATTTCTAAGACATTATATCCTGGAAAACTTATCTCTGATAACAAATCTAGTATTTATGAGGCCTCATATCATCTAGCTCAGTTGTGTGATAAAGCTTTTGATACTGAAAATAAAGCAAATCAAGCTAATTAGGAAGAAATTTTATACTGGTGCCTCTATGTGAAGGATTTCATAATTTGGCTTAATGGAATTATAGAAAATAGCGAAGGTAAATTCAGTGAAAAGAAGGCAAAAGGCTTACTGTATAATTCCATTACAAAATAGCTTAATTTGCTTTATAAACAGAGATCTCAAGAAACAGAGTTACAACTTCAAAATGTATCATGAGATAGTTTGTGCAAGAAAACTCAGAGAGCTAAGAAAGTCTATAAATTTATTTTTTTTTATTTTTTTTTTTTTAGCAATCCTGTTTTTATTAATCAAAGAATACGTATAATACTATACAAAGGTTTTAATCTATTGCTCTCAACCCTCCTTTTTCTATAATAAAACCTCACTCGGCTGCCTTAAAGGTGCCCAAATACAATCTGCTACAACAACATGTTCT